TTGTAATATTTTAAACAAAAAATAGTTTTTTTTTATTGAATATATTTATGTACTTTATGATATAGTTTGTAAAACCTTTAGAAATCATTTATTACTATTTGGTGGACACTTTAAGGTTTGTTTCGGACAGCTTTCTTCCGGCTTCGTGTTTCAGACCACCGCAATAGCTCTCTTTGGGGAATTGCTTTCTAGAAATTTTTCTGGTGAGAAGCTTTTTTTTTCTCAATTTCGTTGTTGTAAGAAAGCTGGTGTATGAAATTTTGAAAAAAAAAATATATTTATAATTCAGTCTGCAACTTTCTAAAAAGTTGCTTTCTCCACCATAATTTTACAATAATATCTTAAAAAGCTGCAGCCACCCCAAGCTGACTACTTTAAGTCTTGAGTAAGACTTTGTTTTCATATAATTGATATCTTATGGATAATCATGCTTATTTTTATGATAATACATACTGTTTATAGTTTAACAAATAATTTGGAAATCATAAAAATGTTCTAACTTTGTTTAAGTATTTGAACTATTCATTATCTAAAAAATATTTATAAATGATGTTAACTTTCATTAACTCTTAAAATCAATAATTTATTCAATTTTAAATATATACAAGAAACTATGAGATAATTTATAAAGGGATTAGAAGGCTCTTATGGAGGTAAAAGCAAAAAATCTCCACTCTAAGGACTGAGTATAAGTAATTAATTTAATTTATCTAAAATATTTATGCATGACATAGTTTCTAGTATAGAATATTTTATCTAGAATATTCAATTTATCCATGCTATAAAATATTTTATGAACTTAGCTATTTTGCTTTTTTATGGGTGGATAAGATGTAAAGCTTATTAAAAATAATATTAAATAGATTAGCACTAGATCAACTGAATCGAAAGAAGGTTGGCATGAAAGGAAAGGACACAGAGAACGAGCAAAAGAGGGGGCTTAAGTAAGATATAATACAGACTTAAAGCAAGCATGATAAAGGGGGATGGACATGAGTCATGAAAATGAGTGAGAGCAATTAGCCAAGTTGTCACAAGGGCTTGGGGTTCAACATGGATATTAAGTTGTGTGCCAACTAGTGGGAATGCTTCAACTTTTTTATCTTTTCCTTCCTTTAAGTTTGATTTAAGTTTTACTTAGGTTTTTTGTTTTATTTTATAAACCCTAAATTTGCTTTGTACCATAAGTGGTTATTTTACTAGCATAATAGTATTTAATTCAAGTAGGTTGTAGTAAATGTTGCAAATCAAGATTTATGGCGTGTTTGATAGCAAGAAGGATTTAAGTTAAATAGGAATTAGTAAATCCAGTAATTTGTATTTGTCAAATTTAAGTATTATTAAATCAAAAATGATGTGTGGTTCAATCAAGAGTAAATTCAATTAAATTTATTTGATGTGTTTAACATAAATTTATTTGAAATATATTTTTCCCAAGCTAAAATCGTTAAATCCAACTAATAAGTTAATTTAATAAATGAAATGAGTAAAAAATTAGATCTAACTTAACGAAGATTTATCTAACCAATTTATGGTGTTTGGATACATTTACATTAAATCCACACTTAAATCCTATTAAAAGCATCATAACAAACACCTCTTAGGAAATATTGTTTGAGGTATGAATGTTATTAAATCATATTAATTTTAAATAAATTATTCAACTATTTATTTCAAAATTTAAAAATATATATGACAATCACTTTTTATTATACTAACTTAGTCTGTATTAGGGTGTTTGAGGCAGCTGCAACTTATTAAAAAGCTGATGCGAAGCAGCTGTGGCAGGAAAACTGCATAGAAGCTGCTGCGGAGAAGCTGACTGTATGTTTGTTTTTTGCAGTTCTGAAACAACTGTGCTGTAGCTATTTCTGAACAAATGACATTTTCTGCCCATGTACTATAGTAATGTTTATAACAAAACTGTTCATACTTGCACATTTCATACTTGAAAGCAAATATCCAATTTGAATGCTACAAAATAAAAGCAGATACCTTACAAAATTATAACACAATAATCAAAATTTTAAATACCTTACAAAATTATAACACAATAATCAAAATTTTTAAAAAATAATAATTAATAATATGATAATATTGTTTTTAAAATGCACTTTGTTTATGTCACGAGATAAGTCTTTCTCCAAGGAAACTGGCCACGCTCGATTACTTTAGGAGGTTGATTCCTCCAACCTATTTGTCCACCTAAAGAAGTCACAATCTTTTGTTTTTCTACTTAGACACCTGTAAAACTTTCTCCAGTAGCTATGTGGTTGTCGTGAAGTACGCATAGAACATTATAGTCACAATAACAGTACAATGCTCTGAAGGTATGAAAGTCCTTGAGCGGACCTTTTTTGATGGTTTAAAACAACAAAACACAAATCATTAGATGCAATATTAGCTGAAAAAAAATTTAAATTAATCAATGTAAGTCTTATTAAACTGTGGTGTCACGGAGAACATATTATAAACTCATGAATCTGTCACTACAATAAGATATCAAGCTTTATAAAAAAAAGGTTTTTGGTTCCCTTTAAATCATGCAATATCGAGCTCATATATGTCACATATGCATATCACCAAAAACAAGCAATCCAGAAGAGCCTCAAAAGCCATAACACTGAAAAAAGAGAGAAACTTGATTGACTTCATTGAGATTTCATATGTGACAAGAACCAATAGCAACATATAGGTCATCCCAAAAAATCCTTAAGGTCGAATATCTCATCATATACCTCCAATAACTAAAAAAGGTTGTGAACCAATTTCTCAATTTCACCTCTTAAGGCAGAGGTCGCAAAATATTAATTTGGCTTCTTTATCTCACATATCAGATGAACCAAGCTCTTTTTTCTTAACCATTGTAATACTAGCATGAAAAGAATTAAACAACATAAATATTTGCCACAAAAATTAATTACCACAACTCAAATAAAAATAATATAGCCATAATATCATCATCATCACCTCCGCACCACACATCACCACCTCCGCACCACACACCAACCTACACAGCACATCCACACACCACTATGCCCACCAACTCCACACCACACACCACCACCTCCGCACCACACCACCACCTCTACAACACAAAACATCACCTCTGCACCACACACCACCTCCGCATCACACACCACCACCTCCACACAACACGCCACAACCACACACCACACCACCACCTCCGTACCACACACCATCACCTCCACACCACTCTCCACCATATCCACACCAAACAAGTAGTGACAACAACCTTTGAAAGTACAAGAGAAACACTAAAAACAAAATGGAAGTTGAACTATGGAAAGCTCACCTTGTCACATGAGCTTCTTAATTATGGAGTTCAATAACCACGAAATCAAAGGGCATAACATTGCTACAACACAACCCCGTCTTCCATCAATTTTTCAAAATATACACAACACCTGAAACATTACTATAGCACAACAAATTATTTCACATTTCATCCATTTTTCATGAAAACAAAATATTCATGGCGCCTAAAACATTGCTATTAACAAATTCACCGCCATCTTTCATCCATTTTTCAAATTCTCACTCAAATATCAAAATTCATGATAAAATCCTTGTCTATATTCATAATATACACAACGCTTGAAACATTGCTGCTAACAAATCTACGACGATCTTTCAATCATTTTTCAAATTCTCACTTAAACATCAAAATTTATAATAAAATTTCATTTCATATTCATAACAAACACAACACTCGAAACATTACTATTCACAAATCCAACACCAACCTTTATCCATTTCTCAAATTCCCACTCAAATATCAAAACGAAACCAGGAAGAGCAAACGATAAACTATGCTTTGGGGTGCTAGGTATATAATTATCCTAATAAAACCAAAATGAACATAACAAATCCACAAACAGAACAAACTAAAACAAAAGGGAAATTTCAAAGCATAAATCAAACAGTAGAAGCCATTGGAAAATAGAAAAGAAGTATATCTCCGGTGCTATGTATATAAAAATCCCAAAACGAGAATCTATGTGCCTAAGAGAGCAAATCCACCAAAAATAGATCAGGGGTAGAAGATACCGGCGAAAGAAGGAACAAAACGGCTGGAAACCCTCATCATATGTGTCGCTGAACAAAGAAAAGAAGAGAGGAGAGAAAACCCGAGGGACATCGAATAAGGGACAAGGCCAAGCCGCCCGCGGAATCCGCGACGGGGTGCCGCGTCGTAGCCCCACCGTTGGGCCAAATAAAGACCCTTAATACTACTTAAACTATTAAATCATAATTCACATAGAATAACACCTTAATCCGTCAATAATTAGTAAATTATTAAACTAACTAAATAACAATATAATTTCAAATCAATTTCATAAATATAATTTTAAATTTAATAATATCAATAAGTAATAATGATGTAAATTTTAATCAATTTTAATTATACTAATTAAATTATAATAAGCATAACATAACATTTTCTCTATTTATAAATATAATTAAATATAAGATTTATTCTTTACTTACACTAATTTATAAAGAATATTTAGTGCAATTACATAGAGGCCCCCCAAAACTTGCCATTTACAAATGAAGCACCCTCTTTCATCAATTTCTCAAATTCTCCATCAAACATCAAAATTGCTTGCTAAACCCCAACCCATATTTTTCATTTTTTTTATCAAAATATAATACATCAGTTTGTCAGTTCAAAAAATCCTCTTGGCTCTTAAATTTGTAAATATCAATACTTTGGGGGTCTATATGTAATTATCCCTTTTGTTAAATTGATATATTTTACTATTTTCTAAATTATTTTGAAAATAAAAATTATAAAATTACCGGAGCACATCTGATAATAGATACCTGCTTCTCCGTTTCTTTCACTTCCGTCTTATTCTAGCTGAAACCCTCGATAGAAGAAGGGCGGCCGGAAGTCGCGACGGGAGGTAGGCGGGGGGGAACCACCGGGGCCTCAC